TCGGTAAGGACCATCAGCTATGTGTTGTTTGACTTTCTGAATATGGTCACTCTTATTCATGACGACCATGGCCTTGCCTTTATCTGCCTTTCTAATTACTATGCTGCCTACATTTTTTAACGTGTTTAAGGCTCTTCGCTCAGCTGGTGCAATGTTTGGAACCCCTGGTTGCTGGGACTTCAGGACTGTGACCAACTGTACACGTAATTTTTCCGCTTCCATTGCAGGAAGCTTCTGGAATACAGACTTAACGCTAGGAATGGCCTCTTCTGCTCTTATAACGCCTTTACTTACTGCAAAATTTAATCCTTTCTCTAACAGACAACGTTCCTCTTCACTTAACGGTCTATCTGATAAATTGACTACGCGACAATAGCTAGTGGATGACTTACTCTTCTCTGCTGTGTTACTGGAACAGCGAGTGGTTGGTGTGGACCCAACAGAATAATTACGCCAGAACGGGGGGATGACCGTTCAAACGAGAATGTTGTGAATATGAACAAAACTCAGATGTATCTGTAGGTGCAGTTGAGGTAACGGTTGAATATTATCTAAAGCAAAGAGGTGTTTAGGGGATTTGTCAATCATTTGCTTTCGACAGGGATGGAGCGTCTCACAGTGAGCATCAGAGAGGCCACAATATTTGGAGTTGTCTGTCTTAACTATTTCTCGGTTTAGACATTTCGTTTGATGAACAGTGCTGCATTATTACTGTTTTGCGGGGCAGTCTGCAATGAGTTCCGCCATTCTTGTCAAAGATGTCTGAAGATGCTCTGTGCTGAATAAACCAAGGGTGTGGGCAAAAACTTGGAATAACGGGCAGTGGTTTGCACTCAAATGGACAAAAACTGTGAGTCGAGAAATACGCTCATCTGTAAACTGATTCGGTTTTCATGAGAGACTCAAGTGAATCTCTCTGTTTTACTTGAACCCAGGCTAGGCAAATTACATTTGCATATCAGTTCGGTTTCCACGGTCGTGGACTGTCGGAGAAATTTCAGCAACCTTGTGAGTAGTTTCCTTCCTGAAAAGATACTGCGATATCTCAAATATCGTGTCAACTGAAACATGAGGCGGCCTGTGTGCAGCGCATTCAGTTGTAGAATATCATGAGCAAGAGATTTCAGTTGTCTCTCACGAAAGCCAAATTGATTTGCAAATGAGTGTATTTCGCGAAAACAGTCCAATTTGTGTTCAAGTAGAACATAAGGTTGATGAAAACTCGGGGACTGCGCCTACCTGATGAGCCCAAGAAGAGCGAAATCGGTCGTTGGCTGTCGAAGAGTTTTCAGCAACCTAATGAGTGGTTTCCCTCACGAAAAAAATGTGAATGTTATAGTACTGACCAATTCATCTTGGTGCGCTGCAAACTGTGCACCGGAAAATCGATCGAAATGATCGATTTCTCACTCGTGTTCACATAGAACGCATGGTTTTAATTAAATGAACCGAACTCTTCAAGAAGATGCACTGAGTTATTCTTCCCTTGAACAAATCTCATAACATCATCGAGGGATATATACGGATGGATGTCTAATATATGCACTTTACAATGTAGTGCTAGCTTCAGCATGAATGTGGCTTAAGTTTGTTACAAGACGGTCAAGCAACCAGAGGATAGAAGCATCATTTTAAGTTCTAACTAGGAGATGATGTATCCAACTACAAGACAATGATATGTCTTTTTCCTGGTCATCAAAGCAACTCTTCCGCAAAAGTTGCTTTTCGAATAAGAACAGAAACACCAAAAAGTTGGGTAGCAGTGTAAACATTCTTCTTTCGCAAAAAGATACACAGACTAGAACTTCGACATTTCAATGCGGGCTTCTGTTGCTAGCTTCTGGTCTCCCTATCAAGAAAGCTTAACGTCGAATTCGGCTTTCGTTGAACCTATAGTAATAGCTTGCAATGTGTCAGGAATAAAGATAACGCCCAAAGATATCACGGTGAACTTGCTTTAGATGCTCCTCTTGCAGACAGAATATGTGGAAATGTGATTTTTAGAACTGTGGGGAAAAATTACCGTATGCATCAAGAGGATTCCTGTTATTTGCACAAACCAAATGGGTTTTCTTCTGATCGCTCAAGTAACCACGCGACGTGGGATTATAAAATCGGTAAATTGGATAAGTCATAGATTGATCCGTTTGTGTGGCAAAGAGCAGGCCTTCAGTGGTTGTTTGTATCTCTTCGGAGGGACTTCTTAAACTTGACCGTGACTTCTCGGAAGTACGTCGCCCAGGTTTGTTTTGAAAAGCAGAACGATATTCCTGATTCTTGAAATGTCTATCATGCTCCTGGCGATCCCTTCCATCATACCTTGGGCACTTTCCTGGAGAAGGTCCAAGTTTCATAGACATCTGAATAAAGACGAACATGATATGAATTCAGGTGTCGTGATAAGGAATAAAGACAACTCAGTTTTGCCACATTCTGTTCTTTCACCAGCAGCAAATGAAATATTTGAAATTTGAAATATTCCGCTGAAAGTAAGCAGATGCACCTATTAGCCTATGTTCTTTCCATTCAACCCAAGCCAATACAAGAAAAAACACGTGACTGAAGAGGGGCGACAGTAACAATCAGTTCTAAATAGAGATCATCTTCATAGCTATGAACGAAATCTGGTTTCACGGCAAACCCCAGAGCCAAAGGCAGTATCAGAAACTGGGAATGCATCCAAGGGTCTGAAATTTCAAAGAGGACTGTATCGGACCAAATCACCACGGTTGTTCACCTGTGTATGTCTCTTGATAACATCATGGCCTTGTGCATCAACGACATCATTTCAATTATTCTTGGTCGTGGCCTTGGATTTAGGCTCCTTGCGCTGCTGCATTTGCAATGTCATTAAATAGGTATGCTTTTTTCGATGTAGATGGAGCTACTAAATTGCGCATGAGTAGTTTGGCGGTCACGGGCTTCTTATCACACGGATTCGGAAAATCTGTAACGGAGCAAAGTCAGCCACACAACAAGCGTCTTGAAGGCGAAACCACTAAAAACCAACATAACGTGTTATCCAAGCCTCTTCTGCCATCTTTTTTGACAGAGTGGGTAACACTCAAGCTGTGCGAAAAATATCAGCAGTTATTTCGGAATGCCTGAAGTGGTACAAATTCCTATTACCAATTGTGACAAAGGGCATTCAATGAAACTTCTCATCATGGGGAATGAAATCCGCAACACCTAACACATCCCTAGGAGTGTACTATTTCATGTAATGATCATCCCCAATCGACGCATCTTTAAAAAAAGTGAAGTAATCTTTATCTACCTTTTGATTACGAAAACCTCAGAGAAACGCACCAAGAGAAATCCCCCGGACAGTCCGTAAGATCGCCGTTGTCTACTAACTGAGGTGGATATTTTCGTGCACGCTAAGGCCCAATACCCATGCAAGCAGCACATCTAGTCAATCACTAACCGAGAGAGGAATAAAACCGATCGAAATTCTTTTCAAAGATGCACCTACTGTCATCTACCCCGTCATGCTTTGCACCCCCTTGGTACCTTCACGATAGCTCCACCTTCGTGCTATCTAAATGCTGCATGACATGATACGATACAAAATAGAACCATATTGCTCAAAAGTGAGCAGGCAAAACAAGCGGTACCAAGCTAAATCCCCGGTAAACAAGGGCGCCAAAACTAAGGATAGGACGATCCACTCAAACAAGCTGGCAAACTATAGTAGACATTCAGAACTCAAACCCTGTATTTTTCAAGGTGTAAGCTTCAAGACTACAATGATTCACCAGGTCCACATTGTGAACTAGCTACATACGGTTGCCGCCAAATACAAAAGACCCTGTTAGTAACGATGGAGACATGATCAACATATGGCCAACGTTATTTTGCTGTGAAACAGCTGTGGTGGTCAAGATTCTGAGAGGTCACGCGCACATTTGCCCACACTTAGTTCGGCTAGAACGAAAAGGAGCAATTAAAGAGGAAAATATAAATTATCCACGATGTGGCAAACGCCGTATAAGAAGGTCCAAACTCTTTAGGACTTCACTTGCGAAAAATGAACATTCATCAATTCGTCTTGTGCTCAACCCAACTGACAGAGCAGCTGACATCAACGAGGTGGTTCAATCCAAGTAGAATCAGGTAAAGTCTAGTTGCTAAGATGGAGCGGTCATGCTGAGTCTTTCGTCCAGCTAACCAGAACAGAGATACTGGCGGTGTGCATATTTGCCTCTGAGTTGTGCAGTCGACAGCCGGAAAAATCCTTGAAAAGTATTTCAGTCATGTTGATCACCACTCTATTGGTACTTCAATAGATGTGGAGGCTTTCCATCAACTGGATCAGGCCAACATGAGCTGCACAGTCATGCGATTCTATTGCATGCTTTATACTCTTCGAGTGCTTCTATCGGTGTGTAACAGAACAGTGAAATGCTTACTAGACTCACGATGCGAGTAACCTTCAGAATAGCCAAGCTGATTATACATAATAAGAAAATCCACGATCTGAAAGAGAGAGAAAACATATTAGGAATCTAGTACGTAGCACATTCCTTTGAAGGATATCATAAATAGAGAGCCGGTCCAATCTGACTAACACCCTTGTAATCTGCAAATGATTCGATTTCGCCACTTACGTCCGTCAGTAGTCATTGTTTAGAGATAACCAGGACGAAGAAAAAATGCCATGTATCGACTGGTAAAAGTTTACCGGTTTCACTGCCACATGATTTGGATCCGCCATACGATGGAACGTAACTCGTTTGTCGGTAATGGTAGGGTTATTTTATGTTGATGCTGTCTGCAGTGACTTTCATAAAATTTCATGCATGCCCAACCCATTTCCCCGGCAGTTGGCTACATACATACCGCCACAATAGAATTAACTATTCTGTTGTCGAAATACACTGATTTGCAAACTAATTTAAATCTAACGGGAGGCACATTACAGCAGATGGGAACCAAATTACTTTTTCAGCTAGTGCACTTCCCTAATCTCGTACAATTTGGGCTCAAGCAGAACGTAAGGTTGACGGACACTCTGGAACGGCCCCTATCTGACATCATCCAAGAAAAGTAGAACCGGTTGTGAGCTGTCGAAGAGTTTCCATCAACCATGTGAGCAGTATCCTTTCGAGTGACTAATTTGCAGGCTGCGTCTGCAAGCATGCATGTTGTTCGTGGACGTCCATCGTCGCTGATTTTTGTTTACGGAGAGGTTGGTTCCAACCAAGACCTAGTGTAGCTGCAGTGTAATATTCAATAGCCATATTAAGCACTTGTAAAGTCTGATTCTACCGAAAACGGCTTTTTTTGTTCACGAGTGTACAAGAACCGCAAGCTTACACCGTGTACTAGGAGCTTAAAAGGTGTTGATACTGTCCCATCATCTTCCGAACGTTTATTTGTTTATCCTTCTTTATATATATCCAGATATCACGTCCGGGAACCAACTGGGAAATGTTTTGTTTGGTCCTATTATCACGTCTAGGTTGAATGGTTGTCGGGTATCTACGTGGACAGTATTGACAAAAGCCACTACGCACATCACGTCATAAGTGATCAGGGTAGCAATGGGTGGTCTGCTGTTCATTCCACACAAACTGCGGTTGCATTTCACCATCCCGTAATTATTCAACTGGCCAGACATGAGGTCAGACTGTCTGCAACTAGGCCTTTTGGTCCAGGCACGCCAGCAACGTGCCGGTAACGTAAGACCACTTACAATCCTGTTCTGAATGAAATCTAGACAGCGCGCCCCCGCTAGAGGACAGCTGCTACTAGGACCACAACGCCCATATAACCGGTGTTCAGTGCACTTCAACCTACACACACTTATTTGTAAATCTGTTAAACTATTCACTGCTTCATACTTTCTACCGACAGATTTTCGATGCTATTCTTTGAAAGAGTGGAAAATTTACTTATCAAACAATTAAGCTTACGGTTTGGAATGGAAACTTTAGTATGTTTCTGGTTAATCTGTGAATGCAGAGAGAACTGATATGAGAGAGTGCATATTCAAAAACACCTGAAGGTGTTTCCAATCCTGTTTGTGCTTGTAAGAGATACGGATGCGTAAAATGTTGGATGAGTTGGTATCCAAATCACGAGTGGTCAGTCAAACCGATAATGATTATCTCGTTCCATTTTTTGGGAAAGACATCAGAACAAGACTGAACGGCGAACAAAGTTCCTTCAGTGGCATGTCGCATCTTTGTGAGGAAAGCAGTTAGAGTCTACGGAATGGTTATAATACCATTTACTTTTGGTGATAAATATAGCAAGCTAGCCTGTAGGTAACCAGTTGAAAATACCAATTAAAAATTGAAATGACAACACAGTCATTTGGGTGGGAAAAGGATCAAGCTATTTTCGAAGATGTAACAAAGCTATAATGGGCAGTCAGATTTTATCCTTTCATACTAAATCATACAATAATCCGCAGTGACAAATGAAAACTTGACCAGTGCGGTTTAATTGAAACCGTGTGGGGTTAGTACCTGGTGGACAATAATGAATTGATAAATGCGATCAACAGGCGGAGCCAGATATCAAAACAGGGGAACTTAGAGGCAAGGGGGATGGGCATTTTCAAAGCCAGCGTGGATACCAGTTGGCAATGAAGTAAGAAGGGGCGTTTGGACCATCGTTCATCCAAGCGACGGTGCTTTCAGAGATGAACGTCGGTCCAGTAAGTAGAATCCTGTACCGAAAAAGAGTTGACCAGAGTTCCCTTAGGTCTGGTTTGAAATTGACATCCTTTGAGAAATCTCTTCAAAATTCAGAGAGAGAGGACTGTCTAGGTGTCTCCAAGATGCAAACTGCTTCCGGTTTCCTCCGAAAAAAGCACACACACTTAGAAAGGTCATTACCATTTAGTGTCGAGAAGATCACTCGCGAGGTGGTAGGTGACCGAACGTACGATACAAACCTGTCCCCGAATTTCGAACGGGAAAGGGTGAATAAGCACCGGTGGTTATTTTGCGCCGGAAAACACAAGATTATCATGCAGAATTTCAGCACAATATTTACCTGGAACAGTGCTGGGCGGGAAGAAGGGTACAGCGACCGTTACGTTTTCGTAAAACTCCACAACTTTAACATAAGCGCAGAATCAACCCAGATTACCCAGTTATTCTGAGGGTTCGTTGTGTGACATCGGAAATGCTTCTTGCCAGGAAGGACTAGGTTCGGATCTTCTCCAACACACGCAAATGCATGTGAACAGGTCATGGTAGTTGGTGTTGTATGTTTGTATGTGCCTGTTTGAACTTATTCATTTGTAGTTGTAGATAAGCGAGCTTCTAAAGGTCAGTGCAACCAAGTACTGTGGTAAAACTACTTCAGTAACGTGAACTATTACCAAAGTGCGAACGTTCGCCAT